TTATGTTGGTGCTCATAGTTCTACTTAATCCATTTTTACACCTGTATAGTATTCCACTGCATGAAAAATAACCACTCTATTTCTCCATTTCAGTTAGGTTTGTTTCCAGTTTGTCTGTTTTTCGTTACAAACAATGCTGTGGTGAACATTCTTGTACTTGTTTCCTTAAACACAGATGCAAGGGTTTCCTATGGGTATAGACCCAGGAATGGAATCACTAGGTTGTAGGGGGTACACAGCTTCAACTTGACCATCTCCAAATTACTCTCCAAATGGTTGTAACACTTTACACTCCCAGAAGCAGTATTGTGAGAGTTTCTGTCTACCTACAGCCTCTCCAACATTTGTTATTTTCAGATTTTAATTCTTGTAAATCTGATGGTCATGTCTACTTGTATGTTTCCACTTATTACTTATACAACAAATGCACGCTTCCCCTTATTACTTATAAAACAAATGTTTTTGAATTCCAAAAAAACTTTTAAAGAAAAAAGTCTGATGAACGAATAAATCTATGACTCTACAAATGCGTAAGCAAGCCCCCCAAAGTGGGAGATGCACCGCCACATGTGTAATAGACTGCATGTAGGAAAAGAATTTTCTATCTGTATTTATGAAATATTGGCTTCTGAGATATTGATTACAACTAGAGAAAGGATCTTGGTCCCTTAAACTGCTCCCTGAGCACATTCTGCATTCTAGAAGGCAACTCATGTCCTAGGCTTCAACAGGCAGAGTACAAGAAACACCACCACCACCACTGTCACTGCTCTGAGGGAAGTGGTTCTCCATGGCTTAAATCCTGACCATAGTTTAAAGAGATTTAAGGGGGAGAAAAAACTGAACAAATGAAAAAGGAAGGAGAACAAACAGGAAAATCAGTTTCAATACACTGTATGCACAATTGGCATTTTCCTCCTTATAAACATATTAATTTTAATCTGAAACACTATATATATAAAGTTGCATAATCTTTCGGGTATTAAAACCAAAATCTGTAAATCAACTCTAGTCCAATTAAAACAAAACAAAACAAATTCTACTTTTCTGAGCTGATCCCAAAGGGCAGTTCTGGAAAAGGAGAAGGAGATGGTCTTGAGATGAGTTCTTCAGAACCTAAGATAATAATTCACAATTTTCATAGCAGTCTAGCTACTTAGCAAGCATAATGAGAACTTTCTACAGTTTAAGTCCCCAAAATTCTGTGATATACAGCATAGAGAAATGGTTTATGAGTTGGGCCTTGGAAGCCAGGTGACCTGAGTTCAAATCTCAGCCCTGCTACATATTAACCATGACCTTGGATAAATTATTTAGCATCTTTTCTCATTTGTAAGGTGAGGATAATAATAGTATCTACCTTGTAATAGTTGTTAGGGAATTAGAAGTTAGAATAGGAATTGGCACCTAAGTGGGCAAAAAAAAAAAAAAATAGTTGTTATTATATTCTAGCCTCATTTTTTAAATAAAAAAAAAGTTATCTATCAAGAGTAGATATCTAAGGGCTTCCCTGGTGGCGCAGTGGTTGAGACTCCGCCTGCCGATGCAGGGGACACGGGTTTGTGCCCTGGTCCGGGAAGATCCCACATGCCGCGGAGCAGCCGGGCCCGTGAGCCATGGCTGCTGAGCCTGCACGTCCAGAGCCTGTGCTCCACAACGGGAGAGCCCACAACAGTGAGAGGCCCACATACTGCAAAAAAAAAAAAAAAAAAAAAAAAAAAAAAAAAAA